AAGGGAAACTGCAGCAGGAGCAGCAAGTGGCGTCAGCGTAGTGGAGTCACGGAAGAAACACCAGGAAGCGCCAGAGTCAAGGGTGAAGGAGAGCACAGCAGTGGCGGACAGAGTCGGAGCAGCGAGGGAAGAACCAAGGCTAAACAAGGCAGGGCATCCTACGCGTGACACAGCAGGGGAGGCAAGACTAGACATGCCTACACTAGGCAACAAGGGGTAGTAAGAAACAGTCATACTAGAGTCATCAGCAGACAGCACATGCAAGGCAGAACAAAGCTCATCCATGTCCATATAAAAAATCGGAACACTACAGCAAAGGAAGCTGTGCCAGTCGAAGAGGTCGGGCGACGTGCCGAAGCGCTAGCGAAATAGGTCGTCCAGGCGACAGAAACAGCAGGACGGGGGAGTGGCCGATCTTATCGCAAACGAAGCCATGGTGAGGACCAGTCTGGAGCTGGTACTGACAGCGCCCGTCACCCGAACCGCCACCCGACTGCACACCACGCGCACGACCACCACCGCCCGCGCCATCACCAGCGCCAGGCCACCCGGGCGGGAGACCACTCGGCCGCCTCTGCTGCTGCGGCTGCGGCTGTTGCGGCTGGTGCTAGAGCTGCTGCTGCGGTTGGTGCTGGTCCGGCTGCGACGGCGGCGGCTGCTGAGATGGCTGCTCGGCTGCACCAGGTACGGTCCCCTCGTCAGCGCTACCACCGGATGGCCCGACACCACCACCACCGCCACCTGCACCACCACCCCCACCGCCGCGCCCAGCCTTGGGGCGGCGACCCATCCCCGAACGGAACTGTGCTTCAGCTGCGGTCTCAGCCACAGCAGCAAAACCATTGGAGAAGGTGCACTGAGCAGGGGCACAACCCTGGAAGATAGAGACCGGCACAGTACTGCTGGTCTGGGCGATAGAGCGCTGGCGGCACTCTATTGCAGGCAGGGTGTCGAAAAAATCAGTGAGGGTGAGGTCACCGGGGTGGATGCTAAGAAAGCGGTCGCGGGCAGTAGCAAGACGGTCAGGGAGGCGGGTGGCAAGCAGGTAGAGGGTAGAGCAGAGGGGCGGCTGAAAGGCTCTAAGCTGGGTCTCAGTGCAGGCAGAGCGCTAGGTCGCGTCGAGCGTGTGCAGGTGAGAGGCCAGGTCAGCGACAGTAGGGAAAGACGCAAGATCAGGGCGGAGCATCGGTAGGATCAGGCGACCTACAGAGGCAGCGGGCGGGGTGGAATAGCGCTTGACAACGGCATCTAGGAATTCCTGCGCAATCATGACTGGCCGAAAGCGGGGGCGCTCAGACAGGGGAAGGGCGTGACTGATCGCAAGCTGCGCAACGGCGTCACGCGACAGCTAGTCTGAGCGAGCAAGGGCAGCAGCTGCGGCGGACTTACGGTTAGCGGATGAGGGGTCAGCGGGCAGGGCAGTAGGGGGGTCAGGACAGGGAAGGGTACCGTCAAGGTGGACCGCCAGGGAGTGGCCATCCTGCCGCTGACCAGTGAGATGACAGCGGAGGTCGACCAACCACGTTTCAAACTCGAGCGGCTGACCCTCTGCGTCGAAGCGGAGCACGGAGTCCGCCATCAGGAGCGATGCAGCAGCGGTGCAGTGCAGTGCGGAGCGGTGCAGAGCGGTGCAGTGCGGTGCTGTATGGCACACAGCAACTCAATGGACGCTGGGGTCGGCGGCGAGCCGGGGGTGGACAGGCGCGAGGGCGGCTAGAAGGGGCGCGAAGGCCGGCTGGAACGGGCGCAAGGGCCGGCTAGGAACGGGCGCGAGGGCCGGTGAGGAACGGGCGCGAGGGCCGGCTAGGATGGGCGCGAGGGCCGGCTAGGAACGGGCGCGCTCAGGTCCGGCTAGAAACGGGCGCGGGGCCGACTAGGGCGGGCGCGAGGGGCCGGCGAGGAACAAGCGCGGGGCTGACTAGGGCGGGCGCGAGGGCCAGCTAGGAACGGGCGTGGGGCCGACTAGGGGCGGGCGCGAGGGCTGGCTAGGAACGGGCGCGGAGGCCAGCGAGGAACGGGCGTGAGGGGCCGGCAGGAGCGGGCGCTAGGGGCCGGCGTGGAACAGGCACAAGGGCCGGTTGGAACGGGCTCGAGGGGCTAGCTAGAACGGGCGCGAGGGGCCGGCTAGAACGGGCGCAAGGGCCAGCTGGAACGGGCGCTAGGGGGGGGGCGGCTAGAACAGGCGCTAGGGGGCCGGCAGGAACGTCGGCGAGGGGCCAGCGAGGAAGGGGCGCGGGGCCAACTAGGAACGGGGGCGGGGGCCAGCTAGGAACGGGCACGGGGCCGACGAGGGGTGGGCGCGCGGGCCGACTAGGAACGGGCACAGTGGCCAGCTAGAACGGGCACGAGGGGCCGGCTAGAACAGGCACGAGGGGCGGCTGGAACAGGCACGCGGGCCGGCTAGGACGGCCACGAGGGCCGGCGGGGATGGGTGCTAGGGCCAACTAGGAACGGGTACGGGGGCGGCTAGGACCTAGGGCGGAATCATGGGCGGGCGGTGGGACCTACCTACTCATGATACCATATCAGAATTGAAGAAATGATTAGAAGGAGAGAGTACAAGGGTATATAGCCTAGAATGTTGTACCCTCTAAGGGACAAACCTATATTGTCTATACTAACATACTTTGATATGTTTGACTGAGATGAGCGCAGGGAGGAGAGATGAGCGCAGGGAGAAGAGATGAGCGCCGGGAGGAGAGATGAGCGCAGGGAGGAGAGATGAGCGCAGGGAGGAGGGATGAGCGCAGGGAGGAGAGATGAGCGCAGGGAGGAGAGATGAGCGCAGGGAGGAGAGATGAGCGCAGGGAGGAGAGATGAGCGCAGGGAGGAGAGATGAGCGCAGGGAGGAGAGATGAGCGCAGGGAGGAGAGATGAGCGGAGGGAGGAGAGATGAGCGCAGGGAGGAGAGATGAGTGCAGGGAGGAGAGATGAGCGCAGGGAGGAAAGATGAGCGCAGGGAGGAGAGATGAGCGTAGGGAGGAGAGATGAGCACAGGGAGGAGAGATGAGCGCAGGGAGAAGAGGTGAGCGCAGGGAGGAGAGATGAGCACAGGGAGGAGAGATGAGCGGAGGGAGGAGAGATGAGCGGAGGGAGGAGAGATGAGTGCAGGGAGGAGAGATGAGGGCAGGGGACGTACTTGTGCGTCGAAGAAGAGGCAGGAGAAGACAGCGGAGTAGACACCGCTGAGAAGGTAGATCACTGACGGACGCCCTGCCAGGGGAGGGAGCACACGGAGCACACGGAACAGGCAGTAAGGTGAATGGTCGCTGCTTTTGAATCGACTCACAGTTAGATCACCGACGGGCGCCCTGCCAGGGGAATGAGCATGGGCCGCACACGAGCAGGCAGTAAGGTGAATGAGCGCCCCGCTAGTGAATAACCCTGCCACACGTGCTGTAAGAATTCCAATTTCCCCCCTCTTCCGCCACCTGCACTTCCCACCCTGGTTTGCCTACCAGTCCTCCTCTCCCCCCACCTTCTACACCCCCACTCCCCCACTTCCCACACACCACACACGTACACAGTCCGAACTCCTTCTCAAGGCGGTTGAGCAGGAACCCGATAGCGAGCAGGTTACAGAAGAGGTGCACCATGCCGCCGTGTAACTACATGGCCGTTACCAGCCGCCAGCCCTGGTGGTAGTTGGTAACCAGGTTACTGTTGAGCGCGCCCATGTCCTGAAGGCTGGGATGATGCAGGGGGGGGAGAAGGGGGGGTGGGGGCGGGAAGGAATCACACAGAAAGGGGAGCAATGAGCAAAACCTTGCTGGGATCCGCTAGGTAGCGTGGCGTAATCACATAACCGTTACCAGTCACCAACCCTGTTACTCGGTAACCAGGTTACTGTTGAGCGCACCACACCAGGGATTGCGATGATGCCAGGGGGTAGGGGAATCATACAAAGGGATGGATGCGATGGAGTGAGTGGACTTGATGCATTAGCGGAGCCCAGTTGCACTTAATGATACCGTATTCCCCCGTATATAACACCCTAGGTTACTGTAAAAAATCATTAAAAAAACGTATGGGTGTTAACAGTAGGCTGGAAAAATATAAAGCCCATGTCTTTGTTAAACTAGGAACTAGGACGCCATGAAAGTGGCATAAGGTTTTAGGAGCTAGGAGAACTAGGAGGGTGAGATTTGACGAGAGAAAAGAGAGCTGGATTAGAAAGAGAGAGAGGTACAAGGAGGGGTGTTGTACCCCCTACAGTAATGTTCAGTAACGTCTACTAAGCCTACAATTATATACTAACATATATAATTTAGCCCACCCCCTAGGCTTGGTAGCAGAAGGACCCACACACCCCCACACCCCCTAACCTAGCACCCCCATTCCCAACAACCACGACTACTCCAGCAGGGCCAACTCCAAGGCCCTGGAGATGGGGACGGTGGCAGTCCCGGCAGCGGCGACAGCGACGGCGATGGCGGTGTGCGACGGCAACAGGCATGCGGCGACGGCTTCGGCTTACGACTGCGGTAACGGCAGCGGCCCCCGCCCTTTCGGCGGCGTATCCAAACTCCGCGACAGGGGGACGACCGCGAGAGTCAGGCAGCGGCTCTAGCGAAGAGGAGGAGACAGAGGGAAGGGGGAAGGGGTGGGGCTTCGGATGTTCAGCGCGGCGCCGTTGCTGGCGCGGCGCTTACTGGCGTGCGGGCGGGCTGCAAGTCCAGCAGCGATGCAGGTGGTGCGCGACGGCAGCAGGCCGACGACACCGCCACGGCACCACTACGACGCCACCACCGCGTGGCGTCAGAGCCGCGGCTGCTCGTCAACGCTGAGACGACAGCACACAGAGGCCGCCACGGCATCTCGGAAAATGTGCCACGGCGGCAGGCAAACGGAAGGTCGCGACGGCGGCCAAGTAAGGACGGGTACGCGGCGGAAGCATGGAGAGCAGGCCCGGGAAGGGCGTCCTGCTCTAATACCATATCAGAATTGAAGAAGTGATTAGGAGAGAGTACAGGGATATATAGCCTAGAGTGTTGTACCCTCTAAGGCACAAACCTATATTGTCTATACTAACATACTTTGATATGTTTGACACAGGGACGGGGCAACGGGGAGGCCTCGGTGGAGAAAGCGGGTGTAGAAGGAGACAGACTGGTCAAAAGTGACGTTACGGGAGTGAAAGAAATGGTGAGACAACGGAAGTGGCTGTCCTGGAGTTGCCCGGTCAGCTGGCGGAGGAGGTCGACGAGCCATGCCTCAAACCCAACGGCCCGACCCTCCGCGTCCAGGCGAAGCACACTGTCCGTCATCGCCACAGCTGCAGCAGCTGACAGCCGCTGGAGGCAGATGAGTGCGGTGGGGAGCGGTGGAGAGCGGTGGAGAGCGGTGGAGAATGGTGGTGTGCGGTGAAGAGCGGTGGAGTGCGGTGGAGTGCGGTGCTGAGCGGTGATGTGTGGTGGAGAGCAATGGAGACTGCCGGCAGGAACGCCGGCTCAGAGGGGAGCCAAGGCCGGCAGGTGGGGGCGGCAGAGCGGCTCGGCGGCGTAGCGACACGGCGGCACGACGAAGGCGGGGCCAGCGGGCGCGGGGCTGGCAAGTGCGGGGCCAGCAAGCGCGGTGCTGGTGGGCGCAGGGCTAGTGAGCGAGGGCCAGCGAGCGCAAGGCTGGCACGCGTGAGGCCAGCGAGCTACAGGCCAGCGAGCGACGGGGCTGGCGAGCGCAGGGCCGGCGAGCGCAAGGCCGGCGAGCGCAGGGCCGGCGAGCGACGGGCCGGCAGGCGCGGGGCTGGCGAGCGTGGGGCCAGCAAGTGATGGGGCTGGCAGGCGCGGGGCCAGCGAGCGACGGGGCCGGCAGGCGCGGGGCTGGCGAGCGCGGGGCGAGTGAGCGACGGGGCAGGCAGGCGCGGGCTGGCGAGCGCGGGGCCAGCGAGCGACGGGGCAGGCAGGCGCGGGCTGGCGAGCGCGGGGCCAGCGAGCGACGGGGCCGGCAGGCGCGGGGCTGGCGAGCACAGGGCCAGCGAGTGGCGGGGCTGGCAGATGCGGGGCTGGTGAGCGCGGGGCCAGCGAGCTACGGGGCTGGCGACGGCCGGCTGGCCCGAACAGGCGGCCAGCAGCTACAGGCGGCTGGCGGCTAGCGATGAGTGGCGCACGGCTAGCAGAGGCGGCTAGCGACGGGCGGCTAGGGGCGGGCAGGCAAGCAACGGGCGGCTAGCGATTAGCGGCTAGGAACGGGCGGTTAGAAATGGGCGGGAAGGACTAGGACTAAGGCGATAGCGCGAGTGGGCGGGGAGAACCTAACCTAGCAGACGATACCATCTGAGTAGAATGGTTCAGTAGAATGAGAGGTACAAGGCAGTTTTGTCTATGGGTTGGACTCTCTAGCCTAGGAGACTCATGGTTTGTGAAGTACGAATAACCGGTCGTTCTTTGATGATGTACTGGTACAACAAAAATGTGCCTTACTGAGATTCAACACGTGTAACTCAACCTAAAAAGCTAAGGGTTGCTTTGCTTGCTGCTCAATTCAAGCGGTTGACCGTCTAGCCAGCAGCGGCAGAAAGACGTTGACGTCAGAGAACCGTTGCTGGAGACACACGAGCCCCTTGAGGAACAACTCCTGCCGGCTCATTTGACGCTGAGCGGCATCTCTGCCGGTTCTGACGGGCATGCTCTCATCGTCGTCGTCAAGTTCCTCATCGCTCTCTGCACCCTCATCCACCTCCATCCAATCACCCTCGTCCATGTCATCTTCGTACTCCTCTTCATACTCCTCAACCTCATCCTCTTCTTCATACTCCTCCTCTCCCTCCTCCACTTCCTCTTCCTCCTCGACTTCCGCCTCCTGATCATCCTCCTCCTCTTCCTCCTCCACTGCCGTCGCCACTTGGAGCGACTTAAGGGTCGGCACGTTCGTCAGTAGCGCGTGCAGCAGCAGCAGCGCCTCGGGCCGCTGCTCCTGCACCTTCAGCTTAAGCTCCTCGAGCTGCGGCCACCGCGCCTCAGATCCCGCCGCGGATCCCGCCGGCTGAAGCGCGCCGGAAGTCGTGGCCCAGGAGAGCACCAGCTGCCACGGCAGCGCGCCGAGATTCAAGGCGCGAAGCGCGGGGCACATGGAAGCGAGCCAGAAGAGCGAGAAGATTCCCGAGGAGAGCGCCCCGGCTCCCGCAGTGAAGAAATCGAGGGCGAGCGAGTCGAGAGCCGAGCCGCTTCCGCGAAGAAGTGCTTGTAGCGAGGACCAGCAGAAAGAACCCGCTTTAAGATCGAGGGTAGTGATCTCCCACGAATCGGGTGCAGAGACTTCTAACAGGCTGGCGCTGGCGACAGAGAAGTTGCGAAGGCGAGGAGCCTGGCGAATGGTTACCGATCGCACGAACATGTCGCGAATGGAGACGGATCGCAGGGAGGAGGCGTTCTCGAACGCACACGACTCGGCGCGCAGGTAAGCGAAGTCGATGTGCTCCAACGACGCGGGCAGGCGAAGAGAAATCTGCGGGCAGCCCGTCGCCATGAAAATCGTCAAGCGCCGCAGATTCGGAGTCGCGTCGAGAACCACCTGGAGGCACTCGTTCGTCAGGTGAATCCAGGAAAGCGACAAGTTGTGCAAGTTGGGCATGGGGCGCAGGCACGACTCGAGAGCAGGCGCCGCGAGGGAAAGCGACCCGAGCGTGAGTGACCGCAGGGACTTGCAGTGCCGCGAGATGTGGCCGAGATGCAAGCTGAGATCCTCGTTCTCCCACACGTTGATCGTCGTCGAGCCGCCGCCATTCGCGGCGGCGTTGAGCGAGCGGGAGAGGACGAGTGACTGGAGTTGCGGGCCCGCGTGGCGCATCCACGCCTCGAAGATAAACTCCCGCGGGTGCTGCTGGTGCCGCTCGTGTTGCTGCTGCTGCTGGTCATGCTGCTGCTGCGGGGCGGAGGCGGAGTTCCCGCTGCAGGTTCCGCCCTCACATGATGTGGAGGATGCGGAGCGCGTAGGGCAGGGGCAAGCGGGGGGCGGCGGGAGGAGGGAGGAGGTGACCTGAAGGTGCTGCAGGCCGTTGGACTTCAGCACCATACGCGATACAAGCTCCTCGCGCTGGATAGCGGAGCAGGCGGGGAGCGCAGAGGCGCAGTCGTTTCCGCCCGCCCGCCCCATGTCGCGCGGAAGGAAGCGCATGACGGGGATGGCGCGGGTGAGCGCCTGCCAGCGGCGGCACGTCATAGATGCCGCGAGCACGTCCGGCGCACCGCCACCTAGATGCGAAAGGATCTCGATGACGACATCGTTGGGCAGCCGAGAGAAAGCGTCCGTTGTTACCATCTGAGCATCCATCTGGTTACCAGACGTGGCGGCGGTGGGTGATTCGGTGGGAGAACGGAGGGGAGAATAGGCCCCGGCTCCGGCCCTCAGCGGGACTGTTAGTGAGGCGAGAAGCGCGCCGCTGCTGCGGGATTTCGGGATGACGCGTGGCAATGACGACGGGGCCGACGAGGAATGCGAGCTAGAGGAGGCCTTGGCTGGGTTTTCGCAGGCGCGATTTGACGAAACTGCCCCCGACGACGCCGCCAATCGCGACTCCATCGCCTTCCTCAACTGGTGGTGCGGCTGCTGCGAGACGTTAGAGGGGCTCGAGGGACAGCGAGAGTCCTTCCGCGGGAAAGGCGGGTAGCAGCTGCGAACTGCGTCGGACGGGCGGGTGGTAGCCATAGTGTCGTCGAGACTGGGGAAACAGTCTTACGACGAACGGAGCGAGTAGGGTGTTACAGACTCTGGCGTATGGCTGTGGTTGAAAATAACGGTGAATCGCGAAGGGCAATCAACCAACCCAGCAGAACAAGGAAGGAAAGAAGAGGTGGTCTTATCCTTGTGCAGGAGGCTGACGCAGGCCGACAGCACAAGGGAACAATGGAGTTCTATCCTTCCTATTCCGATGGCACATGAAGGGACTGTCAGGGGGAACAGTTTTTTTTCTGTAGGACTGGTTGATTGGGTGATTGAGCAGACTGACTGGGTGGAGGAGATAAACCGAGGCTTCGGTTGGCGGGATGGAAGAGGCAACTTGAGAAGGCGTAAATGGATAAATCCGTATATGCTGTGCTGTCTGTTGCAAGCTGTCAACGGCGGGTTGCGCTTAGCCACAAAACACCCACGTCGACCGAAGTGCTGTCATTTTGTAAACAGTAGTCGCGTGTGATTGGATCTCACGGGTTGCCCCGCTTGCTGGGACCACTTGCTTCTGCCACCCTCGTGCCAGCTGAGAATGGAAATTCCCGCCAGAATCAGCGATTCTTGTTTGCGCGCCACATCAGCATGACGCTGGATTGCGCATTCAAGTACAGCACTACACATTGGCTCGCCGATATATTGTGAAAGTGGAGCCGAGGTCGGTCCTATCTGTCTGTTCGTGCATGTTCCCCATGTCATTCTGTTCCACCGATATCTCAGGACTAAATCTGCCCCTCAGTGGATGCACGGAACGGGGATGGAACCAAATTACCCTGATACAATATCTTTCCTAAACGAACTGGAAATATCAGCTGCGTTGGCTGATGGGTTCATGTATGGCTTAGGGCGTGGAGAGTCTGCCAGTCCAATGGACCGTAAACCGCTCTCCAGAATCGGAAACTAACAAAGGATAACCCGAAACCCTTGACATTACATCAGTTTACCCTTCCCGCGTAAGCCCACCATCGATCGCGACGAGATCCCGTCAACATGGAGTGATATTTTCATGAATGTTTCATGCCATGTTCCCCCGAAGCCTCTTAGCAGCTTCGGCTGCAACTACGTATTCCCCACCCCTGCTTGGAAAGCTGGCTTGATTATTGATGCTTGGTTGCCAATGCAACGAACGATGCTCCGTGAAACTCGGAGCAATTAAAATGCTGCAGTGACTTCAGACCACAAGGGATGACTCACTATTTGCAATGAGGCATGGTGGCGTAAATGCCTACAGCATTACGAATGGCTATCCTTCGTCCTGCATTTATTTGTCGACATACCTCCGTCACATCGGTTGTGCCCTAAACAGTGACTTCCGAAAAACATTTTTCCCCATAGATGCCAGAAAAGGGGCACCCGGAACAGAGCTCCCGCTAGGTTTTTCGCCATCTCGGACGATCCGGGCCCCTCAGAAAATCGCTTCTGTAAATCGACCTCGTAAGAACATTACCCTGATTCTTCAGGTCCGTGCTTTAAAAAGTCCTGATAGGTTATAGCCCATCTTTGCTGGACAAGATAATGAGGGTGCCAGTGGGCGACTTCGGGGTAGGATGGGAAACCCGCCCCCTCACCAGCGCCTATCCTGCAGATGAATCACGCACATGAAGGTGCTATACTTAGGCCAGGGGGCTGGGAAGAAAGGGGGTTTGGTGGGAGGGATGGGGGGAGTTTGACTGGCGTGAACAATTGTTCCTGGCAGCTCATTTTAAACCAACCGCGATAGGCTAAACTAAGTGAAAATAGGAAGAGCAGAGTAGGGCTAAGGGGGTAGATTCCTATACCCCCTGGAGGCTAACTAGATGTCCGGCCCCCCTCAAAACCGCACCGGACTCTAACGACTCAGTAGATAAATCCCCCTGATTCTCTCAGGGCTATCTTCAAAACGAACCCTAGAAAACACAGGTTCTGCATCAAAACAACCGTGGGTTTTCATTCATGACAGAATAATTACCCTGTAAACGTGTGCCCAGATCCACAACGCCAAAGGTACAGCGGGAGGGGGGGGGGGGGGGGGTGGGGGGGGATTGCTTGGGTGATCATCGGGGTACGAATTGATCCTTCCCACTGCCCGTCAACGAACCATCGGGATACGAATTTGCAGTTTCATTTCTTGTCACTTGGTTCGCTGACGCAGCAGAATTTCGTTGATAGGTCCAACAAAAATCCACCCGATACTCGACGTATCAGGTTTTCTATTTACACAAGGCTAATGATATAATTGCAGCCTCCTCTCCTCTCCACCTGGCACATGCATGCTTCTGTGCTCGAAGGATATCAACTTGGTGGCCCAGTCTGGCTAATAAGGACCATCCTTCACATGTGCAAAATCTGGAGCATGATTCCCTTCAGCTCAATCTCAAAATTGTCGTTAAGAATAGTTCACATACAGTGGTTGAGCTCCTGGTGTAGAAGAAGCAAACCATGTGATGTATATTTAGCCTTTATCAATCATCGCTTTTTCACGTTGGTGGTTGAGGTCTTGCCTCTCCAGTGCAAATTTTGCGCAATGGTACATGGGTGGGGCGTGCTATCCGTTCTTGAGATATGGTGTGGGTTAAGTTACTACATGGACTAGACTGTAAGGAAACTCCATTTTCCTTGCTGTGCTCGACTACAGCGCGTACGCCCTCTACTCTAGGAAGCTCAGGCTCAGCCAACTTCTTCGGTCCTGAACCACTTCGCGAACCCAAGCCTAGACGTGCGGCGCTTCCGTAGGTTTCGCCAACCGGACCGCCCCAACATGTTTGTGTGGTTCTCGGCTAGCCCTGTTCGTGTCTATAAATGCCTAGGCCCTCAATTGTATCGACACTCTTGAATCACGACTCATTTATCACACTACCTGTCATTACTCTAATTAATTCATGACAGCTGGTATAAGATCCCCGTTACTGCCCGCTTACTCTTCCGTAGAGTAGTCCGTTTCGGAAGACGACCCGGCCGATTAGAGGGCTGGCCTGCGGTTGGTAGGTGAGCTCGTTAAAGCTCCTCCAACTAGAAACGTGTGCACCCTCTATCAAAGAAGCTTAGGATAGGAACTAAACTTAGGACCCTAGCTTAGCTAGTGTTGGAAATATCTCAAGGACTTAAGCGTTTCTGAAGTGTAACACTGTACTCGAGGAAGATTACAGGGGAGCACGCGAGTCAACGGAGGTTACACGAGGGGGCGGACAAAGAAAGCGAAAGGACTCGAAAGGTCGCAACTGGAGGTTGCGACTGATCGTTACAACATCACGGATGGTAACCGAAGCGGCAATCGAGTCGCTGTGCGACTCGATAAACCGCTCCTGTAACTGTATTCTACAACTGCTTTCTTATCTTCTATATATTGCTGTATGCTTGTTTCTTTAATCAATCACTTGTTCTCACATACTAGTACAAGGGTTCAACCGTCTCAACTTCCGCTGCACTACTCCAAGTCTCAAGTCTTTACAGCTGGGACTTAGTCTCTGCAAAGATCCTAAGGGCTTTTCTCAGCCCAACATGGTATGAGAGCTGGTCAGAGACCAAAACTCCCAGCAACTACACTCCATCAACAACCAGCAACTCAACTTGATTCAACAACTCCATTGATTACAAGACATGGACAACAAGGGCAAGAAAGTCTCTACGGGCTCACCCAGCGCCCAAGAAACTCAACACGGCAACTCTGGTCTGCACACCTCAGGACTGCAGACAGAGACCGGGACTGCTCAAGAAACAACGGGAAGAGTACCAGAGATGGTGACCCCGTCTCCATCTTCAAGTGTGGACCCGAATCTCATGGAGAGATTCTTCAGCTTCATGTCACACTTCGATCAGCAGCAGCAGACAAGGACACCTGCGCACTCAACACAGAGCAATGGAGGGAATATGGGATTAGCGCCGATGAGCCTCGACAACTCATCCTTCGGGCGACACAATCAAGCGCCTACCTTTGCGCCTTATCACTCTTCACCGGGGACGTTCGAGTTCATGCCGCCCCGTGCCCAACCAACAGCAGCTGCATCACAACAAACACCAAACGAGATTTTAAGTCTCCAGGCACAGTTTTCACACGTGATTAAACTGCAGACATCATCACCGTTCAACGGACACGACTTCTTTACCTGGAGCTTCGAGTTCGAGCTGCTGATGGAGGCTGCGCATCTTCTGGGATACTTCAACGGGTCCCTGCCATTCCCAAGCAACGGCACTGGGAAGGAACAAGAAATCTTCACGTATCAGTCGCTGCTGGCGTATACGGTACTCCTGAGAAACCTGTCACCACAAGAGCAGCAGAGCATCAGAACGTATCGGAGTTATGGAAACTCCGCGGAACTTGCATGGCATCATCTCAAATGCCTCTATCAAGCAAACGACAGCGTGACACAAAGCAGACTCATGCAACAGCTGACAACAATACAGATGAAAACCGGGGAAAAGGCGATGCAGTATATGAGTCGCTGCCAGACCCTGCGCGACCGCCTGCTTCGGTGCGGAGGAACGATCACTGAAGAAAGCTTCGTCACACTTGTCCTCGCCGGGCTCGGACCAGAATGGAGAACCACACGATCGCTTCTTCGCGCCCACGGAAGGATCTCGGAGATGCACCTCTGCGCCGAGCTTCACGCTGAACAACAGGAGATGGATCTGTTCGAGGAAAGACAACCAAGGAAGCAACAGCAGTTAGTCTTCTACACTCAAAGAAGAAATGACATAAACTACAACCGACGCAGCAAGCAAGATCAACGCGACAACCGAGGACTCACCATCGTGCCGCCGTTCTGCCACAACTGCCAGACTTCCGGACACTCCAAAGTCAACTGCAACCGCCCTCGCGTTTACCGTGCAGCAGACCCACAAGTTGCTTCTACTCAAGCAAGTTCCCCAAGGCGCTCTTCAACATCTGCACAAGGGACACCAAATATCATCAACTGCATGGTACACATCGACAACTGCGCACCCGGATCACCACCCACTTACGCACCAGACGAAGAGGAATTCCCGCCGCCGCGCTCACAAGGACTTCAGGTCAACCCAACATACGCTGCGGTCGCCAACGCCGAACCCACCGGGCGAAACACCTGGTTCTTGGACAGCTGCTGCGGTCAACACATGTGCTCCTCGGGACGCTTCGTGCAACAGGAGAAACGCCTCAACCGCGACGTCGTCATCACCGTCGCCAACAACGAAAACCTGAAAACAAACAGACAAGGCGTGGTTCAGTTACAATCCATGGAGACGAATGTCATACTTCAACTCAACAAGGTGCTCATTGTCGACAATCTGGGATACAATCTACTAAGCGTAAG